CGCAATTAACGAAGATTAAGACACGAACCAAAGACTATCCAATCGACCGTCGCATCACACCTTAACTTATACAGCGCCTCTACTTAAAATTCACTCCAAATTTCCCAGCGCAGCCTAACCTTCACCCCTAACCTTCACCCCTAACCTTCACCCCTAATCCCACACAACAATCCCTCACCCACCCACTCCCTTAGATCGTCTTGTCAGGTGGTATAGCCGTGACAAGCGCAGCACTTATTGGATCTCTGCAGTCTTTGGATTTCAACTTACCTCCACCTCCCTCTCTCCTTATCTTCGTCTTCCTCCACCTCTTCTTCATCTCTACCTCTCCCACTAACTAAACCCTTCCCCCTCTTCTCTGACTAGCTGGGCCAGGGTCTTTCTCCGTGACAGACCACCACTTTAATATCACAGCCGCCAGCGTCTTCTTTTTCCTATACCACAGCTGGATATCGTGGTCCTATCCTCCCCCTGGGGTGTAGGTGTATATAGAACTAAAATTGGATTATTAAAATGCGTAGTGGATAAAACTGTCATCCCTCAATGCACTAAGAGTAATCATAGAACTGTACTAATGATTCGAGTCTTCGATATTTCTACAATTGGATTGGGATAATTGGTGAGCTCTGACGTAGGTGAGAAGAGCCATCCATCTTCCTACAATACAGCAGGATTATGAAAACGATTACAGATGAAGTACTTTAAGTACAGCGACACTAATGACACGGCCTAATGTATACAACACTCGTTTCCTGAGCCAACGAACGTTGATTCGGATCCAACTGCCAGTCACTGAGAGGGACACCCCCAGTCGACCCAGCTGCAGAAAGGGAAAGTGCAAGGCGGTAGAGGTCACGCTGCTTTTTTGTGTACTGAAAAATTAGTCTTCGATATGCTATATGCATCCTGACCCTAATGGGCCGTCAGACCTTTAAGAGCTAATTTCACTTTTTACAACAGTATAAATGGTACATTAATCATACCTGCCTAGCCACATTAATATGTACCTGCACTGAACTAAGATGATATCTTACTGAGATAATTTAATTCAATTACATCGCCCTCCACCAGGATGACAGGAGCACGACCTCCACCTCTGACCCTGCAGATGAACATGCTGAAGGTTGTTATATTTAAGTGGTCAGATTATCAATGACATTTAAGGTTAAGTTCAGTAGCATTTAACCCAATCATTCTCATATGTTTTCAACCTATATATTCAGTCATATTACGTTAAGTTACAATATTTTATTTTCCTATAACAAGTATTCGTCAGCTGAAATGACGTAAATTTCAGTCGTACTTTAGACCGGAGAACGAGCATCGATTGGCCGAATTCATGTGACGTCATTCGGAAAGTCCTTTCGCACTTACAGCTTTAATCTTAGAGATGCATGCCCTGATTTTCAACCACTTGTACGTTAAATATTACGCAAAATTAATATGTGACTCACTCAACCTTCAACAATAAGATGACGTCCCAAAGTGACGTCATAGCCCCACCGAGACTACCGAAAGATGGATACGTTAATGAAGTCTCTACTTAGAAGAATTACCCAAATCTTAGGCGTTTCTGAGAATCCCAATTATAAGTACAGTGGCCAGAGCCGGTGGGGCGACGGAGGGTAATAATGTATGACCTGCAAGTCAGCTTCTAGGTGACCTGCCTGACTTACCTGTCAGTTGCCCAAGTGAAAATTATCCTAGTGTTGTTGGAAAGGTCATGTCAGTGTTGGAGTGAAAGTCAGGTCAGTGTTGTAGTGAAAGTCAGGTCAGTGTTGCAGTGAAAGTCAGGTCAGTGTTGCAGTGAAAGTCAGGTCAGTGTTGCAGTGAAAGTCAGGTCAGTGTTGCAGTGAAAGTCAGGTCAGTGTTGCAGTGAAAGTCATGTCAGTGTTGTAGTGAAATTCATGTTGGTGTTGTAGTGAAAGTCAGGTCAGTGTTGAAGTGAAGATATTCCCAGTGTTGTTCCATCGTGAAATAACCCTCCTCACACGACTCTATTCAGGACGAGCAACAAAGCCGAGAGGTTTAACGCTGTTTACACCCGGCTTATCACTCAACTCAAGTGGCCTGAGCGGTGGTGTTTCATCTCTTAACAGTCAATGTCGTAACGACTAAAAATATAACACAAACACAAGAGAAATTACCTAAATTTGTGAGTTTTTACACGAAAGTTTTTATTAACCTTAACCTAACCTAACCTTAACCTAACTTAACCTTAACCTAACCTAACCTTAACCTAACTTAACCTTAACCTAACTTAACCTTAACCTAACCTAACCTTAACCTAACCTAACATGGTGGGATTTTGGGAATGAGCACAGGAATTAACCCAAAGTATTGGGATTCCAGTGTCTTGGCGTGCCAGTACCACACCTTCCCAGTACTTCACCGGCCCCATTATTTCACTATCCCAGTACCACAGCGTCGCAGTACCACATGTCCTCAATATCACACCACCCGAGTACAACACCACCCTAGTACCTCACCACCCCAGTACCACAATGTCCCGATACTTCTTGGTGCCCCATTAGCTGAGCGTCCCGGGAGCCTTGTGCCAGGCTGAGACAATTCCCCCCCCCAACAAACTCGGTCTTAATAAGGCTGGTGAGGGGAGGCGGTGGGACAGGTCAAGAGTGAGCTAGGCTGAGAGGCTTGGTGTTGACAGCTGCAACTTGCCGCAGCTAACACGCTCACTTAAAGCCGAGGGTTTCATACTGGAGCGGCCACATGGCGCAGGTGTGGCCTGACCTGACCTGGGAATTACGTCACCTCTTGTTACTCACCTTCAATAATATAAATGGTAACAGTGTTTCTTATACTGAGAATAATTCGTGAAACAAACACGTCAGGGTTAACAAAATATTTCTATGCTTCGGTCTGCAGTGTTATATAAAAAGATAGTATTTTATATTTGTCTTAACTTGTAATAAAATATGACTCGGTCTGTGTTTAAATACGATAAATTAGGATTATATTATGAAATCCTATCCTTGTGATAAGTAAGTCTGATCTTATGACGACTGTGACCTGATTCGACTGAAGTCCTATAATGAGTAACTTAGTATCTTCTACCTTCATAAGTGTCGTAAGTGAACGGCAACAAGTATAATTAAAATTTAATATGTATCTCCAATCTAAAAAAAAGGTACTTATTATCGTTGTACATTAAATCGGTTTTAAATGTCATTTGAAACACTGACCATTATTTATAGCCGGAAAAAGAACCACTGTCCGGACAACGGTGCCAGGGTACTAAACAGTGTGAGTAAATAAACGATACCTGTTACTGTACAACGAAAGATAAAACTGTTTACGGTACAGTTAATCCTCTTCCATGAATTCACGGAAGTTTAACTCTATTGTTGGTATCACTATGTAAAATATGACAAGATGTCACCTCTGTCTTGGCCGACTCACACTACAGCCATCAATGAACTCTCTCTCTCTCTCTCTCTCTCTCTCTCTCTCTCTCTCTCTCTCTCTCTCTCTCTCTCTCTCTCTCTCTATATATATATATATATATATATATATATATATATATATATATATATAATATATATATATATATATATATATATATATATATATATATATATATATATATATATATATATATATATATATATATATATATATGTATATATGTATATATATATATATATATATATATATATATATATATATATATATATATATATATATTTATATATATATATATATAATTTCATGCACTTTTTTAAATTTAGGTTCGCATGTTACCGAAAAGTGTAAGCTACCTGTACAGACCTGACCTCCAGAAGGACAATATATCCTTTCTAACATTCAGTCAGTGATGTAAGTACATGAAAGTAGCTAGGAACAAACATTCTATAAATCGAGATCTGAACCAGAATAACGTTCTCTTTAATCAAGCGTCGCGCATCTGTGGATCAGCAGCAGGAGAGCCACGCCCACAATCAATACAACTATAAAACTGACGATATACTAGTGGAGGTCAGGTGTGCCGGGACACCTGAGTCTGTTAACACGTTCCTTATTCCAGGTTCTGATGTTGTGTAGTGACAGATGTGAGCAGCACAAAGTTCACTACAGGAATTCACTTGTAAACATGTTGCTGTTCCTGGGAGAGTCGTATCTTGTTAAGGTCGCCAGAACAGCGAAAAACACCTCGTGGTGCACCTGTAATACATGGAAGTGTCTCGTTCTGGGGGACCAACTCAAATTAATTGAACAGCGCAGCTGCAATATTTTGTTTTGCTTTTGTTTTTCTTTCGAACATTTATCGTTTATGTTTTATGGGAGGGGGGGGGCAACAGGAAACGTTTCCACCATAACAGGCGACACATATATCTTACCCCGAGGACGAGTCTCGCTTCAGGGGTATGAACAACATGGAAGCCCTAGACCAATGCCTTTTGAAAACACAAGCTCCATTCTCCATGAAAGTGTGTCTATTGGGGGGAACAGAGCAGAGGAAAACGCCTGAGCCAATGCACTTGTGAACACATTATAGTTTCTCCAGGGAGAAGTGTAGTTTTGGTGGTGGAGAAAGTTCTAAACACGCATTCCTTTCTCCTTGAATAAACGTATCGTTCTGGGGCTGCGACAAGGGCCGACCACCTACAAGGCAAAATTTTTACCCAGTGGACCGAGTGAGATAAGGGTTTTCTTACCTGGGCGGAAGTGTTTTAGAAACTTGGGTACCAGGAAGTGCCTCGCGTAATTTCTTTAGAAGCAGGATTCCTTTCTATCTCAACAGGTGCAACTCTGGAAATACAATAACAGAAACAGCTGCTAATGATGCATCTGTAACATTTTTTTCACCATCAACAGGTGTAATTCTGAAAACGTAAACAACACGTGTATGGATGCTAGCCATAAACCTGTAACAAAATATTTTCTCCCCAAGACAGGTGTAATTTGGTTAACGAAAACAACAGACAAAAGTTTCCAGCGATGCTTCTGTAACACAATTTTTCTTTCTCCCTTCTGGACAGGTGTCGTGGATCCGTAGGCGCGACCTCCGTATCCTGACGGTGGGTCGGTACACCTACACGACGGACCTGCGCTACGAGGTCCTCCACCAGAACGGCACCAATCAGTGGACCCTGAGAATTAAGTCTGCTCAGCCCAGAGACCAGGGCAACTACGAGTGTCAAATTAGCACCAAGCCCATGAAGGCCTTCACCACCTACCTCAGGGTGTTGGGTAAGAGAGGGAGAGAGGTTGTGCCAGCATCAGTCAGTGTGGGTGTATACAAGCTTCGGTAAAAATGAACGAGTGTATATGAGGCCAGTTACATCGTTACATTACTCAGTAGTTCTATTCAGTGTGACTAAGACAACTTCCTCTCTCGTAACAAAATGTAGAATGACAGCAATAACTACGTGACTACACAAACTCTACCTTGTGTATAAACAAGAGCTGTCACATGATAACGCTGTACGTGTATTTACTTCACTTTTTGGTTTCTTTATGAGATTTAACTTGTGCCATTTGGTGACTGTACTGTTGCAGTTGGATCTAAAGGTTAATATGACCTAAAAATGGGTCTCATCGGCCTGATTGCCCGTTAGCGACAGTATGGATACAATACACTGAGCCTTCGGTACACGAGGCGGACATGAGGTCGGTACGACACTCTACCGCCTTCACTTCATCAATCGTAAAGTTAGGTACCTATTTACAGCTGGGTTGACTGGAGGTGCCCCGGGGGAGCACTGTATCCATAGCCCACCAAAGTGTATCACTGTAATCAAGTTACCAAGGCGATGGGTTGGTGTCGTACCCAGGAAGTGTGGTGCCTGTTGTGTGTTGCATTAGATTAGTCATGACCTAAAGTGACAGGACGCATCAGTGACAGGTTACTCACGTAAGGTTAGCATGTATGAGTATAGAGACCACAACAACAACCCGTAACCTCGGCCACTGTGACATCTTCCTCAAGTGAAGGTGATGTGAGGATGATGTACACTGTCAGGCGGAGAAAATGGAGAAAAATAGATATTATGAGTCCGTCTATTGAATCAAATGCAGGTGATCACGGAACGTCTGGTCCACCTGTACCATGACCCACAGGTAGTTCAGCTTTATTACAGAATATCAAAGGAGAGTTTTCACCTTTTTGGCAGTGCTTGTAGACCCAGTCTCAGCCAAGGACACGAATTACGCTTTTAGATCACCTTTGATCTTTTAAATAACTCTGTGAGTCTGTCTCTCTGAAGTATGTGAATCTACTGAGCTGAGTAACGGAGAAATGACGTAACATGACGCTGATGGGCTTTGTCACGTCACTCATATGTGTATGTGTGTGTGTGTGTGTGTGTATGTGTGTGTGTAACATTTGTGTAACGTGTTATTGACATGTCACAAAGGTGACATTCTCCTTGACATACTGACATGTAACGTAGCTTTCTTCGACTAGATCACAGTAGCTTAAGTCCACTTGCAGGTGACTATAACGTGTTGACTTCATATGTAACAAAAACTGGACCTAAACCTTATATCTATCTACTTCGACGAGTAAATTAACTAATGTTTCCTGTGCTATAAATTTAGATGTTACAGACAATGTGTTACGTTGTCAACATTACTGGCCCCGTGTGTTACTGACCTCGTGTGCTATTTTTCCAATGTTACTGAACCCGTATTACAAAACCTGTTTGTTACTCAATCCGTGTCACCGTCCTCGTGTGTTACTAACCTTCGTGTGTTACTGTCCCCGTTTTTAACGTTTTCCATGTTACTGATCCCGTGTTACTGACCCCATTATTGGCCTCTGTTACAGAACCTCGTGGGGAAATCCTGGGGTCACCTGACCTCTACGTGCAGAAGGGAAGCATGATCAACCTGACCTGCATCTTGCATGACCTGCCTGAACCTCCCGCCTACGTGCGTTGGTACCACAGCAACAAACATCACAGCAACAGGGTGAGTTACAATGTACCACAGCAATGGGGTGAGTTACAATGTACCACAGTCTCAGAGTAAGATAAGACTTACCACAACAGAAGGTTAAAAATACCACAGTAACAGCTGGGTGAGTTACAATGTGTCGCATTTACATTACAAGTTTAAATGTACCAAAAAATAGTTATTACGGTATGTACCTTTCTCTAGACTCATCACAATTTATCAAAATATCTTGTAATTAAGAAAACAACTCTAATATGGTCCTATTGGCTTGTAGTCATAGATGTTTCCCTGACTTCACGTGACTTGTTTTTACTTAGTTTTATAAAACACGGGAAAAATAATGATAGACGTAATTAGAGAGGACTGTAGGCGTCTGACGACCAAGAAATAAAATTAAAGTTGATCATCATGCAATATTGAGGAAATCTTTAAGAAAATTTGTAATAAGGGTTGTGAAATTCTTGCAAAAATTGGCAAAGATGTTGCAAAATTTCAAGTCGAGTTGGAAGAAAACATCTGACGGCCACAAGTTGTAAACAAAAGTTGTTCCTCATGGAAAATAAGGAAACTTTTGTATGAACAAAATTTTAAAATTGTTTGCATACATGCAAGAATTTTTAAATTTGTTAAGAATTTTGCAATATTTTACATTCACATCTTGGGCAATCCGCAAACTCGGATACATTCACATATGAAGATACTTATACATTATTATTATTATTATTATTATTATTATTATTATTATTATTATTATTAGGCTGGTATATAAATGACCTGCCAAGAAACTCATGATTAATCTGTGTGTAGTCAAGTGCACCGAGTTTAAATCAACCAATTGAAAAACTTATGTGATTAAAACAATCTTTTCCACACATTATTGTACATTTTATCAGGGCAGCTAATGTGGATATTGAATATGCAAATTAAGTGTAATTAGCGTGAGAAAAAAATCCTGTGTCCATAACCTAAGACAATAGCCTTCTTGAAAGGTAATTGCTGAAGCTAAATATTAATGGTAAATGTAACTAAGATTAACAGTCACTGACCTTTGTGCACCATATGAGACAGCCCCTGAACAATGCACACTATAACGATGAACATAATAATGAACACAGTGCAGCTAAGTAATAGACAACACAAAACAACACACAAATGAACACAAGACAACACAGTAATGAACACAGGAACACAGCATTGTAACGAAAAGCACACAACACACAAATGAACACAGCACAACACAGTAATGAACACATTACTACAACGAACACAACAACAACATAACAGTGAGTAGCCCCAGAACAGAGAACAATTAAGTGCTTTACTGGGACAGTTTCCTCTGGGTGACCGAGACTTCGCCTCTCGTTATTGTGTGCCTAATGTGTAAGTTTCCTGTACTGCTGTTGTTTTCCTCCTATTAAGACCACTGAAAGAAAACTGTTCCAGGAACTACTCTCCGAGATTTATGTCTGGAGCACATGATGATAATAATAATAACAATAATAATAATACTAATAATAATAATAATAATAATAATAATAATAATAATAATAATAATAATAATAATAAAAATAATAATAATAATAATAATAATAATAATAATAATAATAATTTTAATAATAATAATAATAAGTAAATAAATAAATAAATAACTGAAACGCATCAAAGAATATACAAGAACAACAAATAAAAAAGTACTTATTTCCAGAATAGTATATAAGCATTTATACGTGTGCTTCACCGTGTTGTGAGTTACAGAACGTTATCAATAAATAAACAAGCATTTAACAGACACAGTTCACTGAAAAAATATCATAAATCGCGTTTATGACTGCGTTTAGTCAGCTGAATGTCCACTTTTCCAGACTTATTTCATGTTTTTTTTTTCATATTTGAAACATATATTTTTTCTAGCGGCAAATGAATACTGTTAGGGCTAAATCTCATGATGCGAGTCACTTACAACAGCTTTAGGAAACTACATAACTGTAATACGCTTATATTTTTATGGATATTGTACGTCACACACACACACACACTCACACACACACACACACACACACACACACACACATCTTTAAAGGCCTAAGACGCCGAACTGTTAGAACGAGTCTTCGAACTGTTTATCTGCTTTAAGAGACCTCTTTAATATCTCACTTATGTTTGATACAGTTTCGAACAGGAACTCTTGATTGGTTAATACATATTACAGTCAACACGGTTAACTCTTCTAAAACACTCAATTAAAACCTAAATAAACTTACCTAACGTATAACACAACCTAACTTTGGTCATATTATATTAAGTTTTGTTTAACCTTGTTGAGGAACTTTTAAAACTAATGATTTACAAGAAGCGAATATTTCATAGTTTGGGGTCCTGTAGAAAGAGTTTATTGCCGTTGTATTTCTGAGCCGTCTGCTTATTAATTATAATTCATAAAAGCTGTTTTTCACGGGAAAGTATCCTATTATATTGGTGAGGTTAGGCAAGCTTAGGCTAGGTTAGATTTGGTTACGTTAGGATTTATATAATAATTGTGTGTGTGTGTGTGTGTGTGTGTGTGTGTGTGTGTGTGTGTGTGTATTTCCATACAGGAGGCAGCACCTCAAGGCACTTGAAAACTTTCACCAACGTAGTCTACGTTCCATCCTCCGAGTTCACTGGGAAGACAAGAGAACAAACGCCAGTATTCTTGCTGACACCAACTGTAGGAATATCAAGGCTACCATTATCCATGAACATCTACGCTGGACTGACCTTGTTACCCGCTTGGACGACAGTAGACTACCAAAGCAGCCACCTAACGAATAGTTAACGTAACGTCGACGGGCAACTGAAAAGGTATAAGGATAGTCTTAAGACAAACCTGAAAAAGTGCCAAATCTACCCCCTCATCTGGGAGACGATTACTCCACATCGTAAGGCTTGGAGGAGCACCACACGAGAAGGTGTCAATACTTTCGAGTTAGCCCGACTGCAAACCGAGGCAGACAAGCCCTGCACATGTGCAACATATGTGAACGACTTTGCCGGCCCGTATTGACCTCTTTAGTCACCTCAAAACTCACCAGTGAAGGTGACATCCCGAATAACTCATATCATTGAATCGTAGCTGGTTGATCGTCAAACTCGATTCCTAGTGACAGCAAAGTGGTAGTAGTAGTAGTAGGGGTTTCTGGTATGTGGGCCAGTGAATCATCAGTTACTAGGAACTACCACCCTGACGATCAGTTTCCATGAACACATTTAGAAGGGCAGTTTTTGTGTTTAAGTGGAGGAGTTCATGGTAGTGGAGCAGACACCCACCATAACGCCAACACGTCCGCTCCCCAGAACCAATAGCCCCAACAACACCCACACGCCCTCCACTTACCCCAACATCCACAACACCAAGACTTCCTCCAAACATTCCCACAACACCAACACGCCCCCTACCCACATCTAACACCCCAACCCACACATCTTCCACCAACACCCAAAACCTACAACACCTACACATCCTCCACACACACACACAAACACACACACACACACACACACACACACACACACACACACACACACACACACACACACACACACACACACTCTAACTACGTCCAACACAACACCCAGACCTCTTCCACATGAATAGTCACCTAGCTCACTTGCAGGGGTCTTTAGGCATCAGTCCCCACTACGGCCACACCAGACTGCTGCCCTAATGCTTCACTTCCAAGCCAATGAGGTAAGGGTGACTTCAGAGGCCGTCACTGAAGGCTTTTTTCCTCTTACATTTACTGTATTACCAAGTACACGAGGCTCGGCTCCGTTCCACACAATAGGGATCACTCTAATTTATTCGTTTTTTTTATTTTTTTATTCCCGGATACATGAGGCTCTGCTCTGCTCTGCTCCTCTTTACTCCTACAAAAAAGAGGCTTTACTGTGCCTATTAATCTTCATGTGTGCCCAAATACATGAAGCGAGGCTCTCTTCCTCTTTACTCCTACACAAAAGAGGTTTTACTCCACCTCTTAACCTAACTTTACCACCAAATAAAACGAGAGGTTGGTGGAAGCACTGCGCACCAGAAGCTAACCCACGCACAAGCAAGCACTAAAACAGATTCATTTATTCTCGTCTCAAGTTAAGTGAAGCAAAGTGGATTAAGACTCGGGCATTCCTCGAACGCCTCATAACTATTCAACTTGGCCCACTCAAGTTGGTTCGTCAGTGGAAGTCGAGGCTTTCATCCGCTCTGTCACTTTCATCACTCAGTTCTTCTCTTACTGTCCCAATGTTGCATCTCTAGCGTCTCCTGCGTAACTGTTATGGGTTCTGTTCAGTGTCTGTAGTTAATGGGTGATGGTTTTGTGGCTGTTGGTTAGAGTTCAAGACATCTCTGTATTTGTTTATTTCTCTATATATGTGTCTGATTATCTCTCTCTCTCTCTCTCTCTCTCTCTCTCTCTCTCTCTCTCTCTCTCTCTCTCTCTCTCTCTCTCTCTCTCTCTCTCTCTCTCTCTCTCAACTGCACAGGGGTTCTACTGTACACAAACAAGCCGCAGGTCAGTGGACAACGTGTGCTCATCTTTAATGTTGTGACCATCAATATTTAGAATGTTATGAGACTGCTCTCAGAAGGAGTCAACACACACACACACACACACACACACACACACACACACACACACACACACACACACACACACACACACACACACACACACACACACACACACACACACACACACACACACACACACACACACACACACACACACACACACACACACACACACACCATGATAACAATATATATAATCAGCTCACAGAACAGGTCAAACACCACAGAAGAAAGAGATTAGAGACTTAAGACGAGAGATTATTTCCTTACATCTCCTGTTGACTCTTCTCTCAACTGGGTGGATGAACGTCTGCCAGCACTATTGTCGAAGGAATTTTTGTCATCTATCTAATATACTATAGGAATAGCCTCGTGTCTGTCTGTCTGGCTGTCTGTCTGTTCTGGGCAGCCGAAACGGCACAATCGTTTTCATCAAACTTGGTGGAAAAATCGCAAAAAATTCGTAGAGAGGAACAAACCTGGTCCCATGACGGTGGTTTCTTTAGGAAGGCATTAATTAACAATTTCATTTACGATGGAAAACGATGCAAGTCTACGGACTTGGCGCACCCTAATTAACCATTCAAGTCTACGGACTTGCCGCACCTTCATTCGTTGTACGCTGTCAGCCAGACTGAGGTTGCGCAGTAGCCAAACACGAGCGTTGAAACTTTCACCGGGCACGAAGGGCCCGCGATCACTTGTGTTTTACTATTTTTTTCATCTTTCTCGGCCAAACTGTTCAGAATCGAGCCTCTGAGTAGAGAACAATACTGTCTTTAGTTCATGTCGTCGTATATGTTTATAATAGGGATTTAAATTATCTTTGGGGATATACGAATACAAAGGGGTTGTTACACTCTCTTGGGATATATTACAAAAGGGTATTAACACTCTCTCGGGGATATTTACAAAAGGGTATTAACCACACTGTAAACAATTATATTCCCAGATGAGCGATGATCTTTTAACATATTTTTGGGCACATGTACTGACAAATATCTACTTCCATGTTAAATTGTAATATGTTTTGATTGTTGTGGAATAACATGATGATCTAAAAAAAATTGTAAGGGGTTTCGGGGTTTGAGATACTGGAAAATTGAGTTTTGCATGTCGGCCATCTTGGAATTCAAAATGGGTGCCCAAAATAATGTTTAAGTGACCAAAACTGTATTTCTTGTCTATCAAATGTTAGGTTATATATAAAAATCAACTTCATTTGAGGTTTAGAAGCTGAGAAATTTGTTGTTGAAGTTTTGTGTGTCGGCTTGAGGAGAAACAACACGACCTTTCTGCCCATCTAACTCGTACTCATGGTCTCATCTGCCTGATACACTCTCTCACGGAGCATTTAAATCATCTTCACCCAGTCTAGGGGAGACAAAGGGACCCAGAAACTCACCAGTTCACCCACAAAAATACTTTCGCAACGAGTAAAAAAAAAAAAAAAAATATTGGAGAGGTCCTTTAGAAAGTAAGAGAAGACCTTTAGGCAAACTGGGATTTCTCTAAGCGACTGAAAAAATACATCCAGCTCTTCCTGGTTCACGGATCTTGTAACGAGGGTTTTGTCTGCTATCTTATTCAGCTGTTAATTGTTAAGCTGTTTCCTGTTTTATCTTTATTGTGTATATTCCTGTCAGTTACTGTTATCACCGTTCTTGTTAGTTATATCATCGCCCAGTGATATTGTAATTAGATTTGTATTGTCTTATATATAACCTAACTTTATCAATAATCTCCCTCTTCTACTGATATCGTCTTATCAGTGTTCTTGGATTCTTCCTCGTTTAAAATTCTAGTGGGGATTTTTTGTCATATTTCTATTCCATCTTTATCATAAATCTCCCTTTTTTATAATTATTCTGTTCTTTAATCCCTTCTATTTACTGTTATTATCTTTTTATCTCTTTTGGTCAGCCTATTTACCCCTTAGTGTTTAAATTGTCAGGTGGTCGTCTGTAGCCAGTGACCTTTAACGACAGAAATAAAAATACGGATAAGAATAAATAAATAAAACATGACACAGTTGGCTTATAAAAAAACATCCATCACCGCTCGCTATTGTTGACACATTTAATCTCTCTCTCTCTCTCTGTCTTTCATAGTTATCTACCTTTGTTTCTCTCTCTCACACACTAATCCTTCTTTCTCTCTTACAATGAGTTTTTTATCTCTGTTTCTCTTCCAAAATAGATTTATTCTCTCTCACTAAACTCCTTGTCACTAGTTCTTAGAAATTTGTCTTGTAATCCTCGTCATACTCTTTCCTAAGCTTTCATTTCCTTCACCTTCTCAGTAATCATTTCCTCTCCACCCAAGAATAAATCCCACTTCACTTCGACAACACTAGACATTATCACCGCTTCTCCATTCCACCCCTTCCTCTCTACCCCCCCTACCCTACTTCACTCTACCACTTCTTTCTTTGCCCCCACTTCACACTATTACCACGTCCCCACTTCACTCTCCCTGACATCACTACCACCATTCATACCATCACTAACACCACCTCTCTTCCGCCAACAGAACATCAGCTACAGCAGCAGCCGCGGCGGGGTGTCCATGATCGTGGAGAAGGGCCCTACCACCATCAGTTACCTGTTGATTACCTCCGCCAGGGTTCAGGACACGGGCGTCTACACCTGTGCCCCTTCCAACCATAACGCCACCATCATCACTCTCCATGTCCTAAATGGTGAGTCACTGTGTCATGAATGGTAAGTCATTGTATCCTGAATGGTGAATCATTGTGACCTGAATGGTGAGTCACTGAGTCCTAAATGGTGAGTCACTGTGTCATGAATGGTAAGTCATTGTATCCTGAATGGTGAATCATTGTGACCTGAATGGTGAGTCATTGTATCCTGAATGGTGAATCACTGTGACCTGAATGGTGAGTCGTTGAGTCCTTAACGCTGAGTCAAAGTGACCTGAATGGTGAGTCACTGTGACCTGAATGGTGAGTCACTATAACCTGAATGGTGAGTCACTGTGACCTGAATGGTGAGTCACTATAACCTGAATGGTGAGTCACTGTATCCTGAATGGCGAGTCTTTGTGAACTAATTGGTAGAGGAAATGAACTTAATGGGACTTATTTCGTGGAGTGGATTTGGTCTACAAGTTTAACACACACACACACACACACACACACACACACACACACACACACACACACACACACACACACACACACCCAAACACACGGACACACTCAACAGGTAAGAATGACACTCGAGGGTGCCACTCATTCATAAAGTCATTTAGCGTGTGTGAGTATAAACAATAGGACTTGGTAGGTCACGGTAAAGGTCCTCCACTTGACACAAAACTCTCTCACCTGTCTCTTTGTGTTGGTGTTTTTTACCTGGTGTAATGAACCTAGTGAGTGGCACTTGGTGATGAACTGACTGTCTGTATGTGTCTCTGTCTGACTGTTGCGTTTTCTATTTGTCCGTCTTTCTGTACGTCTATGTGTGTCTGTCATTACGTCTGTTTCCGTCTCTATGTTTCTATAGATCTGAATGTCAATCTTTCTGTTGGTGACATGATTAAAAGAACATTAACTGCCCTTATGTCTGTCTGTGCCTCTGTCTATTGAGTGGCCTGACTGACCAAATTCTGTCTGCATGTCTCATTGCCTGTCTTTACATATTTTCTTTTCATATTAAAAAATAGACTTCACATAAACTCACTCACTCACTCACTCACTCACTCACTCACTCATCCATCTATTCACTCACGCATTAATGTTCACTTACTAACGCTCACTTACTCGTTATCACTCGCTCACTAACATTCACTTCCTGACGTTCACTTCCCCACCCACTCACTCCCTGACGCTCACTTCCCCACCCACTCACTCCCTGACGCTCACTTCCCCACCCACTCACTCCCTGACGCTCACTTCCCCACCCACTCACTCCCTGACGCTCACTTCCCCACCCACTCACTCCCTGACGCTCACTTCCCCACCCAACTCACTCACTGACAGAAAACACTCTAAAATTTGCACAACGAAGCAACAAACGAGCATAACTCCTTGTTTACATTAACAATATACAACTTTTAGGCTCAGTTTATACCCGTTATACGTATACATATATTCACGAAATAATATTATAGTGACAGAGTGTGTAGGAGAGTTTTTATACAACTTTTTGTTTGTCAATAATTTTAGTGTTTTTTCTGAATGAGTGAATTTTTAGGAGTTCTGGGATATACAGCTTGTGTCTGACAGCTCTTAATATAGTACACTGGGATATTAGGATATAATACTAGTGCTCTATTAATTTGCAACATTTCTATTAATTTTTATCATTGCTCTATTAATTTGCAACATTTCTATTAATTTTTATCATTGCTCTATTAATTTGCAACATTTCTATTAATTTTTATCATTGCTCTATTAATTTGCAACATTTCTATTAATTTTTATCATTGCTCTATTAATTTGCAACATTTCTATTAATTTTTATCATTGCTCTATTAATTTTCACTATTGTTCTATTATATTTGTATCATTATCATTCCTTATCACTGGTCAATTATTTTTTTATTATTGCTGTTAAATCTTCACCATTGTTCCAATATTTTTTTACCATTGATCTGTTAATGTTTGCTATTGATCTATTAACTTTTGTCAATGCTCGACTAATTCAAGACTCTTCTTATATTATTATTTTTGGGTCTTACTTTGCTATTATTTCTATTTCTTAGATGGTAATTAAAACTTGTGATTGACCAGCAGTGTTTCAAAGATTAAATCAGAAAGATATAAAACACAGGTGATGTCAACAGTTTCTGATTGGCTAACCAACTCACCAACACCTGAAAATCTAAAAACACAAAATTACAAATCTACTTACAAACAATTACACTTATACCCAAACACACATTCCATATACATGCAGCCACACAGAGACACTCAAAAACACCCCCAAACACACTCAACAGGTAAGAATGACACTCGAGGGTGCCACTCATTCATAAAGTCATTTAGCGTGTGTGAGTATAAGCAATAGGACTTGGTAGGTCACGGTAAAGGTCCTCCACTTGACACAAAACTCTCTCACCCGTCTCTTACCTGGTGTAATGAACCTAGTGAGTGGCATTTGGTGGAGCCCTGTCTATCTGTATGTATATCTCTATCTACCTGTTGCTGTTTCTCTTTATCTGTCTTCATCTGTGTGTCTTTTTTTTCTCTTTTTATCTCTCTCTATTTTCAATCTCTCTCAGGTGAGTGGAAACGTTAACCATCCAATCATCTCGTATTAAGAAGAATCTCCAAAAAATGGTCTCATATTTTTCCCCGTCTTATCTTGTATTATTACGTTCGTTGGCAATGGATGTTATATCGTGGCTTTATTCCTTCTCGTATCCTTTCATCTTTCTATTGCGTTCACTTTGAGGTTTTGGTTAACGTGAGGAATGTCTGCAAAGAAGTCGAAAGGAAGGAGGGGATGAGGAAGACAGAAAGAGAAAAGGAGGAAGACGAAAAAGGTGAATGGAAACGAGCGAAGGAGTGTGTGGGTGAGAGGGGTGTTAGTTTGGAGTGTGTGTGTGGGTGAGAGGGGTGTGAGTTTGGAGTGTGTGGGTGAGAGGGGTGTTAGTTTGGAGTGTGTGTGTGTGGGTGAGAGGGGTGTGAGTTTGGAGTGTGTGGGTGTGGGTGAGAGGGGTGTTTGGAGTGAGTGTGTGGGTGAGAGTTTGGAGTGTGTGTGTGGGTGAGAGGGTGTTAGTTTGGAGTGTGTGTGTGGGTGAGAGGGGTGTTAGTTTGGAGTGTGTGTGTGGATGAGAGGGGTGTTAGTTTGGAGTGTGTGTGTGGATGAGAGGGGTGTTAGTTTGGAGTGTGTGTGTGGATGAGAGGGGTGTTAGTTTGGAGTGTGTGTGTGGATGAGAGTGGTGTTAGTTTGGAGTGTGTGGGTGAGAGGGGGACGTTTGTATGGAAGAGTGTGTGGGTAAAAGAAGTGTGATCATGGATGAAAGTCTGAGACATACTCTACACACTCCATCGTACAAATTAGTTACTCAAGACAGTTTGGATTGAGAAAAACTACTACAATAATATCGATTCCATTTTTTTCGGGTTTTTCATTTCAAATCTCTCTCTCTCTCTCTCTCTCTCTCTCTCTCTCTCTCTCTCTTATATCCTCTTCCTCATTCCCTCTTAACAGTTTTTAATTATCACAGAAGAGTAATATTTTACGCACAACAGTTTAGAAATAACATAAAACTATTTTTTTTCAAATATCCTGACTGAAGTAATTAAATATATATCATGATTTTTTTTTATCCTCTTTATACTAAACGTCACAACAAACTCCTATATTATATTATACACAGCGGGAAGGCCAAATGAGTCCTGCTTTATTACAGTTTAATAATTTCAGTTATATTTTTTTCTCCCTTTGAAATTAATTTTTTTTTTTTTCACTAAATGTGGCAACAGACTCTTATAATAAGTTCCTATAACAGGCTCCTATAAGACACCTATAACCAAATCCTATAAGACTCCTATAAAAAATCATTTAACAAATTCCTATAAAACTTCTATAACTAACCCCTAAAACAAACCCCAGATAGACCCCTATAACAGACCCCTATAACAGACCCCTATAACAGACCCCTATAACAGACCCCTATAATAGACTCCTATAACAAACACCTATAACAACAAATACGCAAAATAAAGGCAAAACAAACCCTTCTTATAACAACCCACAATATATCACACTGTCACATATACGAAGAATTATAAAACACCTACTTCATTTTTTGTTTCATTCTTATAAATCTAATAATTTCCTTTTAAATTAATGAACGTGGGAGAGAAATTAAAAAAAAAAAAAAAAATATATAATATATATATATATATATATATATATATATATATATATATATATATATATATATATATATATATATATATATATATATATATATATATATATATATATATATATATATATATATATATATATATATACGTTTTAGTAATTAACGATGTACTGAAAGGGCGAGCGTTGGATTGTTAAGGCTTTTATGGCGTTTTGTACACCATTAGCTGTCAAAATAGCTTCATGTACACCATTAACTGTCAGAATAGCTTCATATACACCTTTAACTGTGTCTTCATAACTTCATGTACACCATTAGCTGTCAAAATAGCTTCATGTACACCAATAATTTCAAGCCATCATAGCTCCATGTACACCATCACAAGTTCCTCTACACCACCATCACGCCACAAAGTGTTATTCCTCACACCATCATGTGCACCATTAGTTCTCACCTCCCCGTCACTCAGCCTCGACTACATTAAAGGCTATGTAATATTCAGGCGTGAGTTAAGTTCCCTGTGCTTCCTTTCTTGCCCCGAGGAACTGAGGTCTGTGCTGAACGTTGAACATCTAGAAGATAAAACACGGATTTGTTGTGTGTGTGTGTGTGTGTGTGTGTGTGTGTGTGTGTGTGTGTGTGTGTGTGTGTGTATAAAAGAACGTCGGTTTGTTTATTTTTTTATCGTGTGTATGTTGTAAAAATTCCGTTATTAAAGTTTGTAGAATTTTTATATATAAAGACAATATTTCCGGTGGATTTTATTTCGTATACACCAGAAGAATGGTGTCTTCTAATCACCATCCTTTCACCATCCCCCCTTAATCACCATAACCCTCCCCATCACTTTAATCAACATCCCTCACCCCCTTCCTTCCCTCTCACTTAATCCCTTACCCTCGCTAGAACCCCCCAACCCTTACTAAAACCTCTCACTTCTCCCCCAATAAGTAAGGGGATAATACTCTCCTTGCTTACCTTGACACACACCCCACCTCGTTATCCTTATGTCTCCCTATTTTCTCCCTCTCCTTAGATTATTCCCCTCATTTTTGCCCTAGATTATTCCCTTCTCCCTTTATTATTCCACTCATTTCTCCCTAAGTTCCCTACTATTACCTTATACTTTCCCTTCATTATTATTCATTTTTTTGTAACTTTCCTTCTCTCCATCTTTACTCTCACTCTTTACTCTCACCCTCTTACTCTCACCCTCTTACTCTCACTACAACTTACTTTATCTCTATCACTTCTATATTCTTCTCAATTAATCCTACTTTCACCACAACTCTCATCAAAACTTTCTATATTATCAAAACTCCTCTCACAGCGACGACTCTCATCCCCTACTCTCACTCCTTATTCTTACCATTACTCTTACTCCCCTACTCTCACCATTACTCTTACTCCCCTACTCTCACCATTACTCTTACTCCCCTACTCTCACCATTACTCCCCTACTCTCACCATTACGCTCCCTACTCTCTCTCCCAGGCGAGCACCCGGCGGCCATGCAGACCAACAGCTCAGCGGACCACTACAAGAGCGTCGCCCTCATGATGGTGTCTGTCTTAGTGAGAATACTGTGGCACGCTTGGCTCACCGGTACTTAAGTGAGTTACTTATAATATTTAAACAAATCACTAAGAATTTCCAAGTGAGTGATAGAGACTACTTATATTAGTAACTAGGGAAATTTACAAGAGTCACTTAGATTACTTAACGGAGATACTTAGAATGAGTGTAGCAGAACTGTGGCAGTCCTGGGTCGGAGCATACGAGTCATTTAGAATACGTATGAGAATTACTTAAAAAAAGTTATCTAGCTAGCTGGAGCAGCACCAAGGCCTTCTGTGATGAGAGAGAGAGAGAGAGAGAGAGAGAGAGAGAGAGAGAGAGAGAGAGAGAGAAAGTACTGACTAAGGCTTCTGTAAATATGAAGTCCTTACTTTTATACAACCGTCACCACACCTCTCCCTTCTCTCCTCCTCTTCCTTCCCTTCCTCCACCTCCCCCCTCAACCTCACTCCTCCCCCCCTCTCTCCTTCTCCTCCTCCCTCAACACCACCCCTTTAAAACAAACAAACGAAGAAAACACATTACCACCTTTAGTTAATCTCAATGCAATTATCAGGAGTGGATAAGCCAGGAAATTACCCCTGAACTGAGAGAACAAAATTTCCCCGCTTTCCGTTTATTACCCATCACTCGTGGTTACCAAAGACGCTTCACTTTATAAGAAATATTTCCTGTTTTATATCCCGTCTTTCAGCTCCTCACACGAGACCAAAATGTTTATGAAAGTGTTTACTCTTTGAACTATTTTTTTTCCTTCTCTATTTATAATTGATTTCCTTAGGATCAGCCAGTTTGGAATTTTATATCACCTGAAGATTAGAAACCCAAGTTTATTTCACCTGATGATTATACAACACAATGCTAACTGGAGGGTTGGGTTGGGTTGGGGTGGGTTGGGGTGGGTTGATGATAACAGTAATGATTAATGATAATAATAATGATAATGATGACAATGACATAACAGCTAACCATAGTCTTTTTCTTCTATCGTTACAGCGGACTTCTCAAGCACCGGAGAGAGCAGACTTGTGGAGAACGTGTGACTTTTATTCTCCTTATCCTCTCCCCCTCCCCGCTCACTGACCTCTTACGCTGTGTGATGATTACTGTGACCTTTGACCTCCCACAACCACCCCTCACTCCCCTACCCTCTCTGTGACCTATCACCTCCCTCACTCACTCACTCATATCGCTACACGACCCACCCTCCTCTCCCCAGCCCCCCACCAGACCCACTCCCGCCCACACTCCAACCCACTTAGAATGACCCCAAGTGTTTTGTACATACCACGTAAGCTTCACCTTTCACTCACTTTGTGCTCACTTCTACTCTCTCTCTCTCTCTCTCTCTCTCTCTCTTCCCTTACTTTGGTGTGTTCTGTGCTCGAATACGCTCGTTCTGAAGCAGCAGCTGTAGATGAAGGAGACGAAGAGAAGGTTGATAAAGGAAAGGAGAAGCAGATGAAGTCGAAGAAGAAGGAAGAGGAGGAGGAGGAGGGGATAAAGAAGATGGGGAAGGAGTGACAGGAGGAGGAGAGGGAAAAGAAGAACAGGATGAAGAGGAGAAGAAAAAGAGGGGAAGAGGTGGTGGAGGAGGAGAATAAGAAATTGAAGAAAAGAAGAGAGGGAAGGAGAAACCAAACCAAGAAGAAAGTCGGAGGAAGATGAGGAAGAAAGGGGAAAAGAGGAGAAAGAGGAAGTTGAAGAAAAAGAGAAGCGTGTGAAAGAATATAAAGAGAACAGAAGAGACGCAGTAGATGAAGCGGCAGTCGTATCAGCAGGAAGAGGAACAACAGGTAGTAGGAACAGCAGCAGTTAGCAGGTAAAGCTCTGGCAACGAAGGAAGCAGCAACGATGATGAAGGAAAGGTTCTGTTATGTGTGTGTGTGTGTGTGTGTGTCAACGTTTGGGCGTCACCCGCTGAACTCACAGAGACCATGGGTGATCGTGGTGCTTGATCGAATTTGTACCCATATCTAACAATAACCAATTTTAATAAGAACCAGTCTTAATTGGCACCAGTCCCAATAAGTATCAGTACTAATAGGCATCAATCCCAATACCTACTGGGACTGGGGCCTATTAGAATAAGGGTCTATTAGGACTGAGGTATATTAGGACTGGGGCCCATTTATCCTGACGCCTACGATCATTCATGAGTTACCTAATTTTTTGCTGTGAGGCGGAGTGGTGAAGACAAGTGATGGTGTACATAATTTTTCTGACCAGTTTTGTTTGTATCGTGAAGCACCAGCAGCAGCAGGGGTAATAACACGAGGGAAAAAAAAAGCAAAAACAATAGACAATTTTACACAGACTTGGTGAATTTTGAAGTGGTGACCCCGGCTTGGTGAAGAGGCCGGAGGGAAGAGAACTAATCCGTCACTGATTGGATAATGGGTGTTATTTGGTGTTATGGTTTAAGGTGAAAATTATAATAAAAGATTGTGTTTTTAAGGATTCAGTGGACTAGTTTGATTGGTGACTCTCTGTGTGACGTCAACTGATCCAGGTAAAGACTTTTTCCCCTCGTCTTACTGATTAGGTGACGAGAAAAGACTACTTGAGTGATGAAGGAAATACGTTGCTTTTTAAAGGTGCTTTTTGATTGAACAGAAAATCACCCGTACCTTGATATCATTGATGAATACGTTAGGCTGATGATTACCAAATATGCTTTGTGATTGGTGTATCTGCCTAGCTGATATTCAAGTCTGGTTTGTGATTGGTGCATCCTTTTAGGTGATATCCAAGTCTAGTTTGTGATTGGTAAATCCGCCAAGTCGATGTTCAAGTTTAGTTTGTGATTGGTGTGTCCATTTAAGGCTGTCCAACAGTGACTGGTTGATCAGTTCGGGTGACGTCACTACGAGAGAGTAATCTGCTCACACTGCCGGGTGATCAGCTTACAGTGTCAGGTGTGAGTAATGAAGGTAAACCGTATAATGAGGTGAGGCAGGAAGAGGGTCTCACCCCAGTCAAGTTGTTGCGTATCTACTGCAAAGTTTTATGTCAATGATTTCTCTCTTCATTGTCTTAGCTAGGAAAGTAATTATAGTTGAAGAAACGAAAGTGTCTATTAATGTGACAAATTATATAAACTTTTGACGGTGAAAAGCATAACCCAAGGAAACTCACAAGCTATCCGTGAGTGAGTGAGTGAGTGAATGAGTTCGTCTAACCATGAGAAAGCGAAACCCAGGAGCACCTTAATTAAACTTGTGTATTCATAATTGTCAACTAAAAAAACATTACTAAGATTATGGACATTTATGTTTAATAATTATAAGGAAGTACAGAGCTGCTACCATACTGTTTTAGGAGACTGTGTGTGTACGTGAATAAGCAGACGTTTATACCGTGTCAATGAGCCAAAATAATCAGTGTAGTGTTGACTTCCGAACACCACAGTCACATAAGATCTCAGGTGTGTTGGCGAGATATATCACCCAACATAACTGAATTTTTCTTCACGTTAAAATAGGCTGGACAAAGACTATGTCCATCACCACCCTATAATCGCCTTCTTTACACACAACCACAGGCTCCCAAAATACTGTCGTGCTAACTTGGACCTTCTGATATGACTTAAAGAACTTCCTTAATTAAATGGTATTACCTGGCGTAAATTCTGGTAAATTGTACTTGATAAATTAAAACACTGACAATACCGCTCCACTACAGTATAAGAAGCTTGCATGATGCTACTCCTTACAAAAATAAATGTAAATAAATTAATAAAAAAAAAACTTAACGCACAAAATGGTGATAATTCCACAAGATGCCTCCACTGATGACAAGAGAATATCCTTCTGTCTACCTGTCAATCAGTCTATCTAATGATGTGTAAGTCTATCTATCATCCTTAATCTATTACCAAATAGAAGGAATGGAACTGGATGAAAATATCACTACAACCACCAAACACTGAACTAAACGTGACAAAAATCTATACTGTTTCTCTATCAACCAATGTCTATCAGTCAATCTATCAATCAAATGTCTATCAGTCAATCTATCAATCAAATGTCTATCAGTCAATCTATCAATCAAATGTCTATCAGTCAATCTATCAATCAAATGTCTATCAGTCAATCTATCAATCAAATGTCTATCAGTCAATCTACCAATCAATCACTCACCCTCAATCCAGAACTAAAACATCAGGGAAGGAACTGACTTAACGGGGCCACCAAAATACCCTGACCTAGTGGATGACGATGACCCCTGAACTGACACGAACGACCAGAAACTTTGCAGTGGTTGTGCTGGAGAAGGAATATTTTTTTTACCTTGGTCTTGATATCTTGGTACGTACCTTCTCGGGTATTTTGAGTATCTAGGTACTTGCCCAGGGTAATTTAGGTGTCTAGGTACTTGCCCAAGGTATTTTGGGCGTCTAGGTACTTGCCCAGGGTATATTGGGTGTCTAGGTACTTGCCCAGGGTATTTTGGGTGTCTAGGTACTTGCCCAGGGTATTTTAAGTGTCTAGGTACTTTCCCATGTTATTTGGGGAATCTAGGTACTTCCCCAGGGTACTTTAAGGATCTGGCACTTGCTCAGGGTATTTTGGATATCTAGGTACTTACCCAGGGTATTATGGGTATTTAGATACCTGTCAAGCATTTGGTTACCTAGGTAGTTGTCCAAGGTATCAAGGTACCTGCGTATCTATTTAGGGATATCTGGGTATCAATGGTATTTAGAAATCTTATCTACCTTAGGGTATTTGGATATCTAGGTATCTATCTAATGGCGTTTAAAGTACCTAGGTATCTATCTAGGATTCTAGGGGTATCTGAATATCCAAGGTATTATAGGTATCAAGGATGTGAAGGAGAGGTTATTCAAGGCTGTTAGATACCTTCAATAGTTATTCTGGGTATCGAGAGTATCTGGGTATCTAATAAACGTAGGTATCTCGGGTACTTTGGGTATCGACATCTAAGTACCAAGACCGAAGTAATTTGAGTATGTAACCATCAGGGTATAGTAGGTATTTAGGTACTGTAATATACCTAAACAGGGGGTATCTATATATCTGTGTATCTAAAGGTACCGAGGTATCAAGAGTGGAGACAGGACCCCCCCCCTTCCCTCCCTCCCCGGCTGGGTTAATACGCTGCTGCTTCCTGTACATACTGAGGCACTGAGAGCAACAAGAGTGAAAGACCTATTTTTGATACTATTTATTATCCAATTTTTGTAAATAAGATTATAAGAGTATAATATAGTATATGCTAAGATGCTGTATATTACTGGCTCCCGGAGTATGACCTATGACCTTCTCTTACCCCAGTGTGAAGGGGGGTTATATCTCTTGTGACCTAACCTCCTTCCCTCCCTCCCTCCTTATGCCTATCGCCCATCGCCGCCTCCTTTTAATTATTCAACCTCCCCCTCTCTATTCCTCTCCGTTTCTCTACCCGAGGAATTAAATCCCCTTCCCCTCCTCTCCCTCTCTCCTTTTCCCCGTAAGGAGTAAAATCCTGTTCCTCTCTCCCCTGAGGATTTAACCGACTCTCTCTTCCTCTCAACTCCTCCCTCTCTACTCTCATCGATCTACTTTCCTCACTCCTACTCTCTACTCCTCTCACCTTCCTTCATCCCCTCTCCCTTTCATTCTACCTACATACTCCCCTCTTTTAATCTCTACTCCCTGTCTCAACTCCTCTCTAAACCTTTTTACTCTTCTCTCCCTCTCTATGTTTCCCTCTTCCCCTCTCTCTTCCCCCCTCCTTTTCTGTTCCACTTCTCACTATTTATCGCCCCTCTCCCTGTCCATCTCCCGTCTCTCTATCCTCCCTTTCTGTCCCAACTCCTCTCTAAGTTTTCTCTTCTTCTCTATTTCTTCCTGTCTTCCTCTTCCCCCCTCTCTCTCCCCCTGACCTTCCTGTCATAATAACTCCACCCCGTTTCTATATCCCCTCTCAGTCACCTCTCCTCACCAACCCACTCCTCCTTTCAGTCCCCTCTCCTCCTCCACCCATTCCCCTCTCCTCCCCCACCCACTCCCCCTCTAAGTCCCCTCTCCTCCCCCATTCGCTGTTCCCTCTCACTGTCAGCTCTAGGGGACCAACACTTAATGTATGGACGCTGTTTTAATGTGAAGATTCTGTTCTGGATTTTAATAAAGATTGGTGTTATTTAGAGGTGCGTTTTATTTACCTGTGTCTGTCTATCTGTCTGTGTCTATCGTTCTGCCAATCTGTTTCTCTGTCTGTTTGTCTCTCAATCACACTTTTTCTGTCTGTCTCTCTGTTTGTCTGTCTGTCTCCTTTATGCTAATGCCCAGAGTTGAAAATCCAGAGCTCAAAGGTTCATAACTTACTAAGACTCGCAAAATGAAGTTAAAATCTCCTGTTTACCTTATAAAAGCAAAGTTTTCGGGGAGAGTCAGATGTGTGAGTTTTTTTTCTCAATAATTATAATAATCGAGAGATAAATAATTTATGTTGTATTTTTCTGTGTGTGTGTGTGTGTGTGTGTGTGTGTGTGTGTGTGTGTGTGTGTGGTAGTAAATAC